ATAGACCCTAGATAGCGGCAGATAGCGGGTGTATTGGTTTGAAAGGACACGCCATCGACGGCTGTCACCGCAGCATACAACATCAGACCAGTCCACCAATCTGCGCAGCATCTATCAGCTGAATGCGCCCGCTTTGCCCAACACAGATGTAAGACACTGCAAGTTCAGCCAGGACCCACAAGATGACCATTGCTGCACATGGCGTCACCCACGATACGACAGCATGTCATCCCTGGCACGACGCGATGTCGCGCCTGGCGTGACATGATGGCGTTCTGGGCACGAGGTGCCCTGGCATCCTTGGCATAACGCGACGTCGTTCTGGGCGTGACATGATGTCATCCCCTGGCAAAACATGCTGTCATTCTGGGCACGACATGATGTCATCCCCTGGCAAGACATGCTGTCATTCTGGGCACGACATGATGTCATCCCTGGCATGACATAATGTCATCATGTCTTTCTGGGCATGACATGACGTCATCCCTGGAAGGACACGATGTCACCCCTGGTGCGGGATGATGTCATCCCTGGCATGACATCGCGTCATCCCTAGCATGACACAATGCCACCTGGCATGACATGATGCCATCCCTGGCATGACGCAAAGCGAAACGCGGATCCAGAGCCAGCGCCTGCACCAGCACCAGCACGGCATGAGCACCACCAATACAAAACGCCGATCCAGCACCAGCATCAGCACAGCAGCAGCACCGGCAAACCAAAATGCCGGTAACAGAGCCAGCACCCACCTGCACCAGCATCAGCACGGCAGCACCGGCACCAGCACCAGCACCAGCACGGCTGCAGCGCCCGCAAAACGAAATGCCGATCCAGAGCCAGCACCTGCACCTGCACCAGCATCAGCACGGCACCCGCAAAACCAAAACGCAGAGCCACACCACTGAGAAGTTGGAACCCCTATAGCCTGCAGCTATCTGGGGAAATATGTTTGCTGTTGCCGTAAACCGTGATTTGATGTAAACGGTGGTTGGTGCAAACCGTGGCTTGGTGTAGACGGTGTTTGGTGTAAACCGTGCTTTGGTGTAAAGTGTGGTTTGGTGTAAACGGTGGTTTTATGTAAATCGTGGTTTGGTGCAAACCGTGGTCGGTGCAAACCGAGCAGCAGCAGCAGCAGCAGCAGCAGCAGCAGAGAAACAGCAAGCAGCAAGCAGCAGCGGCAGCAGCAGCAAAGCAGCAGCAACAAAGAAACATAGAAACAGCATGAAACAGCACAGCAGCGGCAAAGAAGCAGCAACAGCAACAGCACAGCGGCCACGTTGGGAACTGGGAACCGGTCAGGGGGGAAGGGGGGAGTTGAACCCGCGGGGAACCGTTAGGACTCGGGTAGCTAGCTACAGCTCTTAGGTCGGAGGCCATCGTTCTTAGGTTGGAGCCCGGCGCTCTTAGGTTGGAGCCCCTCGCTCTTAGTCTTAGGTTGGAGGCCAGTGCTCTTAGGTTGGGGACCATTGCTAGTAGGTTGGTCTCCCTCTAAGCGTGAATTAGACTACGTGGACCGGACGTCATGAAAGCGTGACCGGCGCCTTGCAGCCGCAGCTCCCAGCGACGCGTCTTCTTGGCAAAGTACTGGGCGTATGGAGTCGTCGGAGCAGTGTTCTGCTCGGTGGTGCGATGCATCATCAGCATCTGCCCACGGAAATACTCATTCTCCTGCATAAAACCATGGCATTTCATCCTTTCATGTCAAGACTGCAGGACATAGCTTTCACGCGATCCGGAATATGTAACTAGCACAGACCGTCAGAGCTTGAAGGAATTGAAACCTTTATCTTTGAATGCTAAGTCAAATAAGAGGTCATCGCAGAACGGTATGGAAAAGTAATGAAAGTAAATGGAAAGTAATTATCAGAAGTAAGTAGTCATCAAGCCATGGCGCAATTCTGTCGCCCATAGTGTTCAAGGCAAGCGGTGTCGCCGGAGAGAGCGCTGCGGACTTGCAGCGTCTCTGCAGCTTTTGATTTGGAAGATTGGTTGCCTCGAACAGGAGAAATGTGCTGGCAGAGCCTGCAGGATCTTGGATTTGTTGCCTGGCAACGCTGTCCAAGACAAAAGTTGGTTGAAGAAAAGGCAACCGTGGAGAGATCTCTATGCAGACCACAGGAGAAGTTGGTGGGAACCCAAGTTTTCACACGGTGTCACAGGCCTCAAGTTGCGCCTGCTCTGCTTGTTCACCAGCGAGGTATCAGTTCCATCAGGCGCTTCTACTTCCACAGGCGTAGAAGCGCTCCAGACCCCACAGCCTGCGGACGTCGTCGACAAAGTCCAAACAATCTGCTCACTCGAGAAACATTTAGGACAAGCTAAACATTGCTAAAGGCTTTCACATGCGTTCGCTATGAAACTCGCCTGCAAAGCAGGACAACCACTCTTTCCACCAATTCGCGGCGGCGGTGCCCTGCGGTTCATCCTGGAAATGAAGGCGGTTCATTTCATATGCATAAACAGTGCATTGACAGCTGTTGAGTAGCTTGTCAGCTAATCTTTTGAACCCCAATGATACCTACCTCAGTTGGCTCATCCAGCTCATCTTCGTCACAAGACTCTGCCTCATCGCAGTTGTCGCCTTGGTTGCAACGGCGGAACTTGCACTGTGCTGCACCAGAGCAATTCCCTTTTCAGTGTGCAAGTAATCAAATGATTGAATGCAACATATTTAGTTCTTTCGGCATTCTCCCCAAACCCGGTTGTGGAATTCAAATGAAATGTCAGTTGGCAAGGAAGAGACGGTTCTTTTCAAAGCGCTTCAAAATCTTGCCGCTTCTACTTGTGGATTCCATGACACCTGGCACTTCTGTAGCACCAGTCTCATCGCACTGATTGGACTCCGGCTCCGCCGACGGCTCCTGCAGCGTTCAAGCAATCTTACGCGTGTCCGCAAATTCTTCCGTTTAGAATATCAGTCACGCACCACGCAGTGCACATACACTTGCACCCTGCACCAACCTACATATGTTCTTTGGGCAAAAAGTTGTCACCGCAAGCAAGGGCTTCATTGACTTTTGACGAAAGCCAGTGTCCGTCAGGTATTCCCATGCCGAAGTGAAGCCAAAGCCAATCACCCCTGCACTTGCAAGCAGGACATCACCGCCAGCCGAGGCAAGGTCAAGTGCACCAGCAGATGCAGTACTGATCCATTCGGTTGCCCACCAGCTCTCTCCGCTGGCAGCGGTGCTCGCAGCGTCGCTGTCAGCGGTGCTCGCAGCGTCGCTGTCAGCGACCATCTTGTCTGCATGATCCATCGATGCCGCGGAAGCAGGACTAGAAGTCCCGATACACGACAACCAACAAGAAACAAAAATGTTTCTTGCCGTCAACAAACTGAGCGCTGCCCTTGTCTGAGCTCAAGGCTTGATCCAAGGGCTGCGTTGTGAAACATCTTGTCCAACAACTTCCCCCCATCAAAAGTACTGCAATGTGATCGTATCTCTCCAGCCCAAGCATAATCAAACAAGCACAAGAAAAGATAGCCATCTCAGCGGTCTTTCACTGTATAATTGTCAGCATCTTCTGCCTCGAAGCCAAATTGTCTTTGCCCGGGAACACACCGCCCGAACCTGGTCATGCAATGAGACGTCTTGTCAAAACTCACCCGACTTATCCCGACTCATCTCGCATGAAAGTGGACGCTACTAGGAACAAGTGCATCGCTACTAGTAACAAGTGCCTTACTAGTAGTAACAAGAAGCTACTAGTAACGAGTGCCTTACTACTAGTAACAAAAAGAAAGTGGACGAAGTGAACTGTGGACAAGCCTCTTTTGGTACTGCCATATGATCCGCTTCAATGTTGACTCAAAGGGTCCATGAGCATCCTTCCTCTCGTCACTTCAATCAGTTCATCGCCAGTTCCCTCTGTTCCATGCACCTGGTGAGGCGTCTGTCTTCGCGTCGCTGTCGCTGTCCGCCTCCGTCTGGCGCAGTGGTGTAGTCGGGGCGCCGAGGTCCCTTCGGTTGGCACTGAGGTCCCAACGATCAGGTCATGCAGCGAGCAACGCGCGCGTGGCCTCGGCATGCTGAAGCAAAAGGTCCAGTTCTTGGGGCCAGTTCTTGGGGCCCCCCACCTGGACAGAGAGCTGGCCTACGTGCTGAAACATAGGTAAAGCCAAAGCCAGAACAGTCCAAAGCACCGCCTCCAATCTTTGTAGGAAGGAGCTACGCATATGCTCTGCTTCTGGCAGCCTAGACCTGCCAAGCTCGATAGAAGAGAAGGTAGGTTGGGGGTAGGCCATTAACTACTACCAGGAGCTACTTACTAGTAGCTTCTTGTTCCTAGTAGTACTGCCAGGAGCTACTAGTAGCTTCTTGCTACTAGTAGCGATGCACCTTGTTGCTAGTGATACTCGTGGCAATGGAATCTGTCTGTCCACAAAACATGTGGACACCGACACCGCCTTCGCTCTCCATGGGCAGCTCCGCCAGCTCCCCTTGGGCCTGTTCGCAGAGCGACAGGCACCTTGGTCAATTTTGTTACTAGTAGCTTCTTGTTCCTAGTAGTAAGGCCAGGAGCCCCTAGTAGCGTCCCTGCTCCTGGTAGCGATGCCCTTTGTTACTAGTAGCGTCCTTGTTCCTTTGCATGTGTTGAGTGCCTCTTGAGTGACACTCTGCCTTGCTGAAGGCTCTCGGACTCCGGCTTCCAATCTATCGATTCTCGACATGGCGTCCATCCGGGTCAAACCATGACTTCCACATACAGTTATGCTGCTATGCATGGAAACATTTGTACTTAAAGAGTCTCTACAATAATTCCAAGACCACAAGAGTCACAAGAGAATAACTTGCTATCATGGCAAACACTAGGATGGCATGTCTGTGGCGGTTCCTTTTTAAGCCGCTGTAGCCAAGGGAAGTCACGCATTGCAGACAGAGATTGAGGCTACTTATGTGTTGTTCCTCAAGACGGTGTTTGCAACCTCTGTACTCAAATGGAGTCTGCGAACGTGGCCATTCCTTGAAGAGGAAAGAACTCAGCACGCACCGCACCTGCTGGGTCATCTCGTCAATGTGCACCTAGCAAATCTGTAACTGAGGAGCAAACCGCTTGGCATCGCGTCCTGCTTTGAGCCTTGCTGACCGAAATATCCTCCTTCAGTTTTGAAACCGCCTGCGAAGATGGCAGTTCTGAGCTCAAGAACCAGGCCTTGTTACTAGTAGCTTCTTGCTCCGAGAAGTAAGGCCAGGAGCCCCTAGTAGCGTCCTTGCTCCTAGTAGCGATGCCCTTTGTTACTATTAGCGTCCTTGTTCCTTTTCTTTGAGTTCTCAGTCGGGATGTGTTTTGAAGAACATGGCAGTCTCAAAGCGATCTTTTTCCACCTCAGTCATGACAGAGAGCTCCTCACTGATGGACTGGACAGCTGCCTGTGAAAGAGAGCAACGTGCCAAGTTTCCCAAGTAGCAATTCTGCCCAGCCTCCTGCATCTCGGTGGATTGGTAGCTGGATTGGTGGACTGGCGAAGCTTCCTGGATGCTTCGGAAAGAGTCCTGCCAATGCAAATGAGGCTCATATGGCAGTAAAAGCTTAAAGCGGCTCCACCTTTCGTCTTGCATCGGAGATTGCATCGATTTTCTTCTCTAAGACCATGATCTTATCCTTCAGATCAAAAAGGCAGAAGCAAGCATGAAGCAAGCACAAATTGCTTGCGCTGGCCTCCAGATTTAAGATGATCCGGCGAACTACGGCACTGATTTCCTGCCAAAGGAAAGTAACTACTGCACACTTTGGGAGTATCTGTTGAGCAAGAATACCTTCTGCGAACAAGGACCAAAACAGCCATCGGATAAAACAGCCGTCGGATCCTGTCCACCAAGATCTCCAAGGATGCGTCGGTTGTCCTTGATCGAGTATTCTAGCTTTCCCACCTGCAACAGCCGAATCTTTGACACATTCGCGCCATCAACTTGGACGACGCAATTAACAGCCTTCTCGGACAACTGCGCCACGTCGGGCGCATCCGCCTCGCAAGGCCGGAGTCTCATCGGGGAGTCTCATTGGGGCCCACACCAGTCTCCCTGATCATGCTGTCCCGATGAGACTCCGAATCTACGAGCTTTGCCTTCTGCTTCTGAAGGCCCGTGATCGCCTGCTGTGTCCAGGCCTTTGCCTGACAAAACGCGTCTGGTGAAGCTATACTTAATAGGTTCTACGCATCTTGCTCACTGCTCTCACTCCCTCTCCCTCTCTGTTAGTATTCATGGAAGGCTCCTCGGTGCTTTGATTTGCGCCTCCCCCAACTCATGGACAAACTTGCGGTTGGCATTGTATGTTGTGGCCTCGGTTGCGCAAAGTCGTAGATGTCCAGCAAAGCTTCGCCAGGTTTCTGGGCTAGTGGCGGACATTTCCTTTAGCTCGACCTTCAGGCTGTGTCTCAATTGAGGGAATTCCCTAAAATGGACTCGGACAGTTCATCTGCAGTAGTGTGTTTCTTGTACCAAAGGATATTTGATGCAGCTCCTCATGTTCAAATCAGTAACAAAGACATCTCATTTAAAAGGATCTCGGGACAAAGGCGAGCTCGGCTCGGATCTCTGGCGGCCTTCATAGCTTGATGATCCGACCTCAACTCATCAAAGCCTTTCTGCACCTCAAAGCGCTTCTCAAACATTCAAAGGAGAAAGGCAAAATAGGGCGAACAATTGAAGTCACCACTGCCAAGGCAAGTCAAGTCATTAAAGCCACACCTTGGTGAGCTCAGTACGGGGAACCGCCACAGCTTCTACCTGTGACAAGAGGTGCCGAAGGCGCACCATGACATCCCGAACAAGGGCAGACCTGTGCTTGCTTGTTTCACTGCTTGAAGGGCTTCAAAAAGTCTAGGAACCAAATGCTTAGTGCGAGCGCTTCTTCAAGGAAGCTGCCCCCGCCCAGGTGGGGCATCCTACCTAGGGGAGGTAAGATAGCAATTAAAGCAAGTAAGTTGGCGCCTACTTAATTAAGTAGTAGGGGGGCAGAGCGGCTGCAAAAAGAGGCAAACCTGTCTACATCAATCACTCCTCGCCTTGTAAAGCTTCTCAGAGAAGTCTGCAAGGTTCTGAGCTGTGAACTTGGTGTCACCCTGAGGAATCGCTCATCGCAGACGCTAACAAGGTGTGGAAACTGGCTGACAAGCTCAAAAAAAGGGTGGCTCGCATAAAGGTCCATGACGGCCAATGATGATTTGAGGAGAGTTCTACAATCTCCAACCATCCAGTTTTCAAAATCTTCAAAAACTTAAGTTCTTCATAGAAGGGTTTGCCCTTTACTACGTACGAGAACTCTTCCTAAGAGGCCTCTCTGGCGCCTTAGGCAGGGTTCTACATGCGAAAAAACCGGCTTCGTTCCAGGCCTCCAGGGACTCGATGCGAATCTTCAAATCTGCGGCGAGTCCCACGCATGTTGACGTGTTGCACTATGGCTCGCAGAGGGGGTGTGTTCCTTGTTCCTGGGAATGTTCCTTGGTTTCGAAAAACCACAAGAAGACACTTCATCTGAGAAGCTCTTCAGTCCCTGAAATCACCTCTAGAATACCGATTGCCTGGAATGTTGAGCTTCTCGAAGAATTTAAAACGCCTCGAAGCTTGTTGGCACAGTGGATTTGTTGAGTCCAAGAAAGGCCTCTTTCTGGAATGCTGATGAATGCTGGGATGTTTGCGCCAGTAACTGCTGAAGCTCCTCCCGGTCTGCTTTCTGGACGTGATCATTGTCCTGGCATGATGCAGGGACTGTCTGTGAAAGCCAGGAGGCTCGTTCTCAAGCAGGCAATGACTGCCTGCGCCCTCCTGAGGTTGAACATGTCACTTCCAAGCCTGAGGGATTCACTCTGATCGACTCAGTCCGACTCAGCGAAAGACTTGAGCCTCTCGAGACGCTCTTCCAAATGCATCATCTGTGGCATCATCACCTCAACAAAACTGGGCGTTGGCAGCGTGAGGTCCTCCGATCCCATCTGGGATGAGAATCAGCGTGAGCAGTAGCAGGGCCCAGTGCGTTTTACCCAGAAAAAGTGGCTTTGGCAAGAGGCGTTCTCGTTCGTATTGGTGGCCACGGCTCAAACAGGGAGATGCTGGTCTGTTTCCTGTGAAAGACATTGTTTCAGTAGGTGCAATAGTTGCTCATCATTGCTCTATACTGTATACTTCGCACCTTTGCTCTGTACTTGCATCCTTGTCAGCTTTGATACTGTATGACATGAACCCAACAGCTTCTCCCAAACTGAATGTTAGATATTCTAATCACTCTTAATTGTAGAGTATATTGCCCTCTATCCTGTTCTAGTCTTCTCTATCCTGGCTTGCTCTGACTCTTGTTCACCTTGAACTACATATACGATTCAGTCTATGCTGTTCAATCAAATCTATGTGCCCTCCTGATAAAAGCAGGATCAGTTGTACAAGATGTGCAAGTCCAATCAACAAACAAAGCAACACAGATAGACAAACAAATCAACCTTTGTGGAGCTGGAATGTGGCGGGTCATAGCCAGTATACATATACATACATGGATATATATATATATATGTGTATATATCATTGTGCCTGTTAAATGACAAAACTCTGCACAAGAAATCAAAAGCAAAAGATTTGAGCTCACTGCCCCGGAGTCTTCTGAGAAGTTGGCCACAATGGCATCTGCGAAAGGGCAGAATTCATCAGAATTTGTCTGCTTTGACTTCGGTTCACACTTCACCCCTGTCCTGAGTCACGTAGAGTATTCCATGCCTCAAAGGCGAGATTTGAAGCTTACCGTGTTATCCAAAAGAGGGCCGAGAGCCCAGCAGGGGCTTGTGATTTTGGCATGGGTGGCGGAGTGGCACCACCGGTTTGAAGCCACCTGCAGTCTATCAACGTCAATGGCCGATGGTGCAACCTGCTCACACTGGGTAGCCCATCCTCGTGGCTATCCATGCAGATTTTGGGGTGAGATCACATTCTGGGCGTTCAAGGGGGCTGATTTACAGCTGCAAAAACCCACCGCTGCGGAACCAGCTACGCTAGGCCACAAGCTGAATGATCTTCGCTTCGAAGTCGTCCCGGTCGGTCTCAAACCTGCCCAGGTCTCACAGCTCTACGAAGCCCCCACATCTTGTCGGGAAGCATGTCAGGGCGACTTCTCGAGGCACATGGCCAAGTCACGGCCCATCTCATCTCGTGGTTTATAACACCAGCTCCACCTCGGCAGATCTCATCATCTCAGATCCGGTCCAAAATCATCCTCCGACAAACCGACAAACCAAGGCTTTGTGGATTTGCCATCTGGGAAGCCTGGCTTGATGTCTGGCTCACCAGCGAGTTGCCAGGGGAGACGGCTATCTTGCTCCTCCACTGTGAAGGTGCGGGTCCTGCAGTCGTGCAGTGTTCAGGTCCTCGAAACAACACATTTTCGTCACTGAGGATGGGACTCCACATTTTCGTCAAACATCACGTGTCGCTTGCCAGCATCTGTTCCGTCACTTCCAGCTTTGAACTCCTTGGTGAGGTCACTTCGACAGCTGCTCACAGACTCTCCACCCAACTCTGAGATCAAAGCCACCTTGATCTCGTCCTCCTTAACATGGAAAGCATCAGGTTTTAACCCAAAGCATAAAAGCAACATAATCTCAGACTTGGGTTGAGTCCTCAGCAGGCTCCGGAAATAGCTGTCTTTGCAAAATCCTGGCAACAGTAATGCGAGACCAAAGCTTTCTTTCTATTTGTTACTGTGCTTGTCGCGGCACCTTCTCAAACGACGAGGCAGAAGCTCCAAGAAGGCGAGCAAAGTTTTGTTTGTCGCCTGACGGCTCTCTCAGGAAACCTCTCGGAAATGCAATCGTTGAACTTTGAGCAGGGAACTCAAGCCAAACACCGGAGAAACGCCCAGTTTCACGCTTTCTCGCCGGAAAGACGAGTGCCTGGAGATCACCTCGGAGCTCCTGCACCGTTCGGTTCACCTGCCCAGCGCCGCCGGTGCGCCGGCGGTTTCGTCGTGTCTGCAGCTGGCAGCTAGGCCTCTGAGTCGAGCTCTAAGAGCCTCCTTCCCATCTTGGCAATACGCGCAGCATTGACCTCATCCTTGGAAAAGTCTATTCTGAAGTCTTCTAACTAAAAGCACTTTTTGGGACAACTGGCTCGCAACTTAGTGAGAAGCAGAGGCATCCAATTTGGCATCAGGACCTTAACATGCACCGACTCTCGCAAGTGAGCCATGACCGACATGAACTCTCCAAGAAGGACATGGGAGTTTGATGAGCAACCTCCCGTAGCTTTGGGCTTCGTGTCCCTCGATTCGTCCCAAATCCACCGTTGTCTTTATAAACTATTCCATACTATTCCTCAAGTGTCGAAGTCATGTGGCCCACACTAACAGCATCAGCACCTTCTGTTTTTGTCTTCTCGAACTGCCTGGCATGAAGATAGCGAGATTGCGGTTTGGCATGCAGCATGCGCAGGAATCTAACCTGCTGTTATAGTGTCTCACAAGCTTTGTCAACACGTCACGGCACGGCACTTGCAGCCTCGTTGGCATCGTTGCTCCACCCTGACCCAAAAGCCACCATCAAATGCATTCAGCTGAGAAAATGATTGAATGCATAAGTATGCATAAGTTTACTTGCAAAAAGTCAAAGGGTGTACCTCGACCGTCCGGAGCGGCTGTGGCACAAGCCTTCAGTGATTTCCTCGGCTTGTCACCCTTGTCCTTCTCTCCAGCTCCGACAGACACAATGGACCTGAAGCCACCTGACAAAACAGCAAGGCAAGACTTGGACAAATCGCATCCCTTGCCAGGATCCTTTTTGCCCAAAGCAGAAGCAGCAGAATGCGACCCTGTCGTTCGACGCAAACCAGTGAGATGTGGGGAAGGGTTTTTGGCAATCTCCTCAATACGCACGCTAAGAGGTTCACTGTCTTTGTCATGTTGGATTGCTGCACCGTGCCTTGGCAGCTGAAACATTGTAACAACATCACTCTTCGCTGGCCCATCTGAGTCGTAGACACCAGCAAATAGTCCAGCCGTGTCTGCTGCGTGACCACCTTGAACAGTCTGCTTTTGTCCGGACATGGATACGGCTAGAAAGCACAGGCTGCCTGGTCGACAATGCTTCCAACCTCGCCATATCCGCATAAGCTAGCAAGAAAGTCTCATCAAGCAAGTGTCTGGGAGGTTGTGCCTCAAGTTGGAGCCTCTTCAACTTCTCCAGGGCGAAGTTCGCCTTGATAATCAGTCTTGCTGTGGAATCTATCAGTCTTCGAAGTGGAAAAGCTGTAGCTGCTTCACTGCTTCGGCGATTGAAGCGAAAATCCTGTCGCCTGGGCTTCAGCGTGCTTATGTGCAGACCGGAGCCCAGCAATCTTCAGCATGCCTAGGCAGCTAAGCAGTTGCTTGTTGTCTGCATCTCTCACTTTGATTGAGGAGCGGTTTGCAAAGTGCATACTGAGAGATTTCAGAGCATCTGCGTGTACGCGTCCCTCTCTCTCTCTCTCTCTCTCAAACTTCCAACACAAACAAGATACAGCCTGCAGTTTTCACGAAAGAAGACAAAGTTCCTCACTCTGCTGCTGACTATCCTGCAAGCGTTTCACCTTCTCCTCAAGGTCCTCATGGCCCACAGTGGTCCAAAACCAGAAAACGACCATCAATCTCCCGATGGCCCACAGCTCCTGGACGTCTTTGGACCCAGAACCTTCAAGCCTCAGCTCTGCGCATGAAATCGGCATTGAATCGAACATGAGAGATTCAGAGAGAAAGATAAACAGAGACAATTAAAAAGAAAAATGAGAGAACTGATGAGACCAGCACATCTCAGCTGCTTTGTGATGGTCCATCTTCGAGAGCATCGCTGCGCTCAGTTTCTGGTCAAAGTCGCTCCTTACGGACCTTTGTCAGTCCAATTTATGGTCATTTGCAAGTGTTTCTCATGTTGATCTCCATACGCAGGCTCTTTGTTTGGGCGCACCTCATCTCAGAGTTCACAACGCTAAGGATAACGTCCACCTGCATCAATTGGCACGGGGCAAATGAGTACTTGTGACTTTGTCAACCGAGCATTGTCCGAACCAAAACCAATCAAAAGATCTGAAACTGAGGCTAACCAGAAAATTCATGTCAGTAATTAGCACGTTGCTTTTCTCGTGCTGCTTGTCTCCACCTCACTGTCCTGTCCACACGGAAAACCAGCGACGTGGCGATGTGGCGACATCGACACGGGAAGGTCTTGGATTTCATCACAAGAACTGCCCAAGCTTTCAGCTTGGGAATTCGAGACCTTCGCGTGGTTCGTGTGACGAGTGAAGCTCAATCAAGGTCTTGAAGGGAACCCAACTTTCAGGTTCTCGGCAAAATGTCTACTCCGTGTGCCCGTCACTGGAAGCGTTTGCTTCAACTCATCTTTTCCTTAGGTCTACCCAAACTCTCCAAGTCTGCTTTTTCCCTGTGGCCAGAACCTTGTCCTTCTCCTCCATGTCAAAGACCTCTGCACTTAGCATTAAAATAACAACTTGAGGACAGACTCGGGTGGACGAAGGGTAGCCACAAAATGGAAACGTGAGTTTTGGGGAGAGGTTCGGTCAGAGGTATATAAATGATTTCAAAATGACGTCGGAACCACTGAAGCGACGCGGCAGGGAAAGTTTGAGGAACATCTTGAGGAAAGGAGGCGTTCTGCAATACACAAGGCAAAGACGAAATATGCTCCACAGGGAGAGCTATTAGGTAAAAGGTCGAAGGCATGGCGGGTAAAGACAGGGGTTTGGACCGTTTGGAATGATGAATCCAATAGTGAGTGGCTTCATTGGTTAAGTAAATGGGACAAACGCAAGGGTTCCACAGGATTTGAAAACACGGCGGGAGGGAGTAAAAAAAAAGGTAAGAAAATAGCATTATTAAATTAGGAAAGTTGCCCCTCCAGTCAATGAATTGCTACAGGAAGAACTGTTGTGAAATGCTGAAATGCTGGGTATCACCCCTTCGGTGCTCCTCCCAGCTCAGCTGCTCACGCGTTTCCCAAGCATAATGCCCATCACAACCGCATCGTGTTCTACCTTTCCGGGCAGAAGCAACAGAATATGACCATGATCCTATTTCTCTTCCAGAACGCACCACAACAGCAGCCCAAATTCTTGTAACTGTCCAAATGAAGCCTGGCCTGGCCTCATCAACCTGCTGCTTGAGGAATGTCAAGTTCTCATCCATGCCATCCACACGCCTGCTACTTCTGGACCCCAAATCTTGCTCGACAAGCCGGGTGGTCTTTTCCCCAAACACTGTGGTCTCGCCAACGATTCGTACGGTAGGTTTTAAGGCTGGGATTGATCGAGGGTGCTCACATTCGTTGGCGACAATTCGCTGCCAGCTACATTCACGCCTATTGAAATCTTCGAGGTGCATTTCGACTGCACAAACTCCCACAAACTGGTGGGAGCAAGCGGGGGCTTTCCTCGACTGTGCTCTGGTTGTGTTGCCGTGCACATTTTCTGACTTGTTGGTAACTTTTCATGGCAGACACGTGCAGGCGCAAGGGAATCCTCGTATTTTGGTCGTCTGAAGTCGGCTTTTCGTGGCACGTCCCACGTGCAAAGAGATCGGATCGGCTGTACTGCGTCGTGCAGATTTGGTTTCGTGGAAGGCACCGGAATCGTGAACCTTGGACACGTGGCTTGGTTTTCAGAGTCATTTGTGAACCGTCAAGTGCAGACTTCCTGTCAGGCGCAGCTCGTTGTGAACCTCGAAGTGTCGATTTTTGTGGCACATGCAGCAATGCAGCACTTTGTCAACCTCGAAGTGCAAACATGCGCTCAGCGCTCCCATATGTTTTGTGTTCTGTCATTGTGTGTTCTCACATGTATGCCCTCACCTGTTTGCTTTCATGTGTGCTTTCATGTGTGTGTGCGCTCCAGAGTTCGTTTGTTCACCCTTGTCTTGTTTCTACTGAATACTGTTTGGGGGTTCTTGCTGGGATCATTGTCAAGACGCCTCATATCCTTTGCCATGAGTTGCATCAATATGGCATTGAAGTCGCTGTCCTCAGACCTTGGACAGCAAGGCAAGTGCACGTGGCACGACGTGGCACGACGTGGCACGAGGCGCCCGGGCTGACACACTCCGTCAACGGGGTTTGGTGTTTGGAAAGGCCCCAACGCACCGTCAGGAACAGCATCTGCCAGGCACGCCCTGCAGGTGCGAAGAACATCGACTTTCACCGGTTGGACCTCCTCAGCTGATTTGCCATATAAGCTAGCTCTGCAACAAGCTGATGAATCATGATGAATCCAAGAAGGTCAGTCTGTGGGCCCGACTCCAACTTTTGCAGTTCGATGGTCCACATCACCAGCTGAGTGAACAACTGAAACCGCCTCCTGAGTCGGAGAAAGAGTGCAGCAAGGAGTGCAAACACATGAGACAAGGGTCTAGTGGAACGCTCCACAGGTAGCCAATGGTTTCTCTTGCCCTTCCAGATACCACCAGAGCAGATTTTCACTGCTCAAACAAACGAATCGGGACCCAGGCGAAACCAATCCTTGCAGCTCGTCCATGCGCTGAAATACCTTGGGCAGTTCTGAGAATACACACTATTGTAGGCACAGAGTGATGGCAGGAATCTTTAGAGCCCAGCGCTGTCAGAAAGGCTTGGAAACGCCTGTTCAGGCACGTTGCAGAAATTTGCATGCACGCATTCATGTGAGCGATGGACATCCAGTTCAGTCCTTAAGAATCTTCTCACAAAGATCCTTTGGTCTGAACTCCTCTGTCAAAGTCTGATTGGTTGGCTAGCTGCTGGCCTATACTAACAGAAATCAGTTGCAGCTTTCCAAGCGACACTGCTGTGGGCCATGAAAAAAGAAAAGATATCACTACCATCAGAGCTCCTCCCATTTTTCTGCTGGTGCTTCAAGGCCACGAAAGAGCACAAAGGTTGGAGTGCCTCATCCCGAAGGCTCAGGATAGGTCCCAAACACCATGACGTTCCAACCGGATAGGCGGCTTCATAAGGTACCAGCCACGGGCTACAGGACAATCATCAGGGAAATCATTCTTTTCAATGTTTATCCTTGGCAATTTCCGCCCACCAAATACCGAATGAATGGCATGCAAAGCCACCTGACTGAGGTGAAAACCTCTTAATGACAAATGGTGCCTGGTGGCTGTCAACTTACATATTTCTGTACTGTTTTTGGAAGCAAAGAACAGAAGAAACGAAGCGAGAACCTTGTGCTCGTGCAGCAACTCTCCCTCGGCCAGAGCAGTTCATTTGCGTTGAGAAAAGTCCTAACCCACAATCTCAGACAGCGGCCAGGGAGTTGACGAAGGGTCTCATCAGAAAGCACAAAAAGCAAGTGTCCTGTTTTCTCAGCAGCAATTTCTGTGGCCTTGTGAGGCTTACAAGAAGCTACTGGGGTGGAGGCCATTGCTACTAGTAACAAGAAGCTTGACGATTTGAGAATCGTCTCCTCAAACATCTGCAGCAGCACCATTGGCTTGCGAGGTCCAGATGCTTCCAGCACATCCTCTTTTGTAACATGCCAGGTCTGAGGAGTAAATGAATGCACGTCCTGCGTATCCCCTCTCTCCTTGTGGAATGATGAGTTTGAAACCATTGGTACCTTTTTGGGCACCTGCAGAGCGCAGTTTGAGTAACAAACTGCAAGAAATCTGCGACTGTAGAACAATTACAAGGTGCCTTTATTTTCGACAGGTCCTGGGAGACTGGCTTGTAGAAGTCCACAATCTGTCACAAACCGGAATCCAATCCATTGTTTCACCAAACTCCATGATGAGCCTCCTCCTTTGGGATCTTGTCGCCAATTAGCAAAACTGACCTCAATCTTGTCTGGCGGAGTCTGCAAGTGCCTCGTGATTTTTTGCCAGACCAGCCAGCCACTGTCGTAAGGTCGCGGCTTTCTTTGTCCTTTGTACATGACCTGATCTGCTGTCGGATGTGTCAACACCCCCGAGGCGGAGATCCCAAGGCTTGCACCACTCGAAGAGGTTTGTCCTCTCTCTCTTCACCACCAGGCAGAGCAGGATCACCTGGATGCATCAGCGAGTGTGGCTAGTATGGCATATCCATATTCTTGGGGGTCCCGGCCATCTTTTCGAACGTTCTGGTAGTACCTCAATCGGCACATCAACACCGGACCTATTGGCCACCGTTGATTTCTCGCTCTTTTCAACACGATGAAGTGTTCCACTCACCAAAACCGGCCCAAAGGAAGGGCACGTCACTTTCTTCAAAACCGGCTCTTGCACCAGAGAGCTGATCACACGGTGAAAATCCTCACCTCGACTCACGAAATGACGAGATGAGTATGAGCTTTTACACAAAACACCTGGGTTAGATGGGTGGCATGGGTTAGCCATGAAATGCCATGGCTGGAAGCTCAGACGGCCACTCCGTTCATTCAGGTCCTCGGCCTGCCAACGGCACCGCATCGTTCGGAATGAAAATGAATCTGGAACGTATGTGGGTAGTGTTGGGGTGAAACCTGGGCATACAAGGTGAAACACCTTCCGGCACACCACCTCCTCCTTGAAGACAATGAAAGCGCAGAAAGAGACAGGGAAGTTGAGCGTCACAAAGGACACATGAGGTGACATCATTCGATGAAGAAGCATTCGGTGACCAACAGGGTTAGTTACCAAAAATACCATGTCGGGTCGGTGCGTGTTGAAAACTTACCAATCTGTAACCTTCTGCTTTGCCGGGATCATACTGTTCAATACATCCCAACATACCGAAGGCATATTTGAGGGTTTCTTGAAGCCAAGAATGTCGAGACTTTCCGGGCCTTCTGCATTCAATATGGGCAATGAAGGAGTTATATGCCTCATAGGATCTGAGGGTGAGAATCTTAAAATATTACCAAGTAGTTTAACCTTACATGTGTTTCAAGTGTGGGAGAAGAGTTCCGTGCAAGATATGTATCCCGCAGTGTATCAAGAACTCAAGAACACTTTGATTAGTTGCTGAATGATCAATGAAAGTTACTGAATGATTAATGAATGTGGGAGGAACTGTAAGTTAAAATGCAACGGATACCCTTGAATTGAAAAGCATTGAGCTTGGAGATCTTGCGCCATGAGCTGATATGAGCTATACACTTTCAAGTCCGTATACGATCTTGCTTTGTAGAATAGCATTGAAGACCCGTGGTGTCCAGAAATACTCTGGAGTTGGCTTTATCCGAAAAGAGCTTGAGTTGATGATTGCATGTCTTAAATGTCTTAATGGCAACCGCAATGCGGGTATTGATTCCGCGAGGATTGTCAACTTGATCAGATAAAATGGTACCCAGCTATGTAGCTCCATGTCGCCGGGGCACAGGCTACCATCTATATATGTGGATTGCTTCGAGGTTGACACATTTGTCGGAAATAAGCTGCATGTTGTAATAAGTTGACTCATGTTGAATCGCATGGAGTAATTTGTTAATTGTGTGTGTAATGCGAAACAGTGGCAACAGAATTCAGCAACCAACAGCAGGTGCCTTCTCGAAGTAGAAGACAAACAAATTGTCGTGGTTGTTAAAAACCTGCGGGCAGTTTTCAGGGAAGCACACTGCCCTGTGCGTTTGCATTGATTGAACCTGCCTCATCTGATATTGGCTTGATGTCAATATTGTATCTGTCTCCTGGTGGACACACCTGACAGAGCAAAGCGTGAAGTATCATTAAAGGTCCAAACGAGAGACATCTGAGAGCACAGCCAAGTACAAGCCACCAACCCCTGCAGCAGCTGCTCCAGCCACCTGGGTACCGGTGAAAGCGCCGGAACGGTGGCAACTGCATCTCTGGAAACTCGAGGTGATCAAGGCAAGGCTGGGGCTCTGACAAGAACTGTTTTGGCGGTAGGTGAGATGAGGCTCACACCGCTGCCAGGGTCCTGAGTTTGAGCCATCAGGGGTTCATCAGTGGTCCAGTGATCCTTTCTCTTGATCGACCTGCCCAGCTGCACTTGTTTACCATCCACATTGGACTTGAATATGTGTAGCTCGCTATCAAAACTAATCTGGATCAAAGATTGCTGCTTTGGAAAGCAATTGTTGCTTTTGCCTTTTTGGTATTGGCCAGGTTCTGGCCTGCAACAACTCGAGGTCCTAATTGAGCAAACGGTCCATTCATATTCACCAACTGACTTTGAAACAATATGTTTTTGAAAAACCTAGGGTACAAAACCACAGCATGTCGAATATGGCTGCAGAAAGGCACGCTTGAAGATCAAACACAAGACACTGCTATACACTGCTTGCAAAGGAAGCTGAAGGAAAACACCCAAACTCTGACGGAGTAACACGCTCCCAGTCCAGCTCCCGGAGTACCAGGGAAGGCATAACACGCTGCAAGCTTAGGAGCTGACAATCGCCGCGAAGCCCCGTAGCTGTATCGGCTGGATTTTGTGACCCACCTGCATCCAAGTGCTGGCTGGCACGCTTGCCATCCGGGTTCAACGCTGGCAAAGCCACTGAAGGCGTCCCAATGACTGCAACTACGAATGCTCACTGCAAGTTGGAGAGCAGGTAGCAAAGACAAGGCAAAACGAAATCTGGCCTGTCTGGCAACCAGCAGCCGGCGGGCTCTGCAAGCACTCGCGGTGCGGGCGCCTGCGAAGAGAGTCACAATGTTGAAGCCAAGCAAGTAAAAGAGAGGTAGCGCTTTTCCACTCTCCTACATATCTATTTCGCATGTACCAATGCGTCATCGGTTTAAATACAGCTTGTAAAAGAACAAAGAATAACAATAAACATAAACATTGCCCACATATGCACTTGCAGTTGTATACATTGCTGCATGCACTTACATATAATTCCCTTCCCGGCCCACTTCAGAATACACAATGCCTGCAAGTCGACACAGCTGCCATGACGCCATGACCAAAACCCTTAAGCTTCTGCAATCCCAAACGAAACTGCAAAAACTGCTTCCCTTGCTCACCAAGGTGAAACAAGCGCAAAAAGAGACAGTTTGGCCAACCTTCTTCACAACTAGAACTGAGTTGCATCTTAACACACAGTCTGATGGCGCATATGTTCTTGAAGGGTTCGAGTGTGGATGAAGCCGCTCTAAGCTTGCCCTGCTGTAGCCAAAACTCGCTGGGCTGGACAGCTGGCAAAGAACGATGCCAATGGCCGAGTCTGTGCCGGTCAGAAGTCGTCCATCTCATGCTGGCCTGATTCGCCAAGTTCCAAGTCTTATTGTGCTTTAGGTCCTGAACACACGGCATCTAAGGCTGAGAAGAACCAACAAGTTACTAGTAACAAAAAGCTACTAGGTGGAGGCCATCGCTATTAGGTTGGAGGCCACTCCTATTAAGTCTTTAAATCTGTCTCAATCCTCAGCTTGTTGAGTCTCGTGGGCAGCGAGCAGGACGTCAAGCCTCATGAGCCGCGCTTCCTCTAAATTCTGTCTGGTCAAAATCTGTTTATTTGGAGCCTAACCACTGGTAGGCAGGAACATCACTGACAAGCTGACTCCAACCCAGCGTTTGTGTTTTTTACAAGTCATCGTAATCTTACCTTCACCCAACTGGCCAGCAACGCCTCAACAAAATACTTGTCTCACTGGCGTCTAGATGAGCTATCGGCTGTGACTGCACCTTCTGATTGGTGACTCGGAACTCGCTATCCAGTTCTCTCATTCGATCCTCCAGGATGGATGCCTCAAACTCAAAAGAGAAAAGACATCGGGGGGGAGGAAAATAGAAAAAAAACTGTTCTCAGAACCAAAAACATCCAAAACGTTTAACACATCAGACTCTGGCCAATGTGTCAATGTCATTGATCTTGTTCTGGCAGTTGTGCACACATGAACAGGCATGAAACAAATACCTTTCAAGCAGTTTCCAATTGCCTGCAGACTGTTTCTTCTGCTTGACATGTTCGCATCTGCTGAACCCACCAACCTTAGTGTTTTCACAAACCTCAACTTCAACCTTTACACGTGCATGATCCAGATTCAGACTGTTCCATTTGCTGCAGTCTGTTCTTTATCTCGTCATTGCTCGCAACGAGCTCCTTAGCCAAATGGTGTTCGCTGTTTTCTGCACATCTCCAATCCAAAATATCTCACCTTGACCTGCGAGTCATCCACAGCCTTGGGAGAAAGAACTTTGATAAAATTGTCCACATGTCGCAATGCTCTAGTCTCCAGGGCGGCCACGGGCGGTTTTGGTGGTGGAGGCATGTACAAGCCAAGCATGTCACTGAGCCTAAGCCACTACAAAATGAGTGAATCGTTTCACACTGAGTGTCTTCCACGATCCACATCCGAACCACATTGAAATTGAAGGGTATCCAGCCTTCGCTTGGGCCTCGACAACTCAAAGCACAGAAGCTGGTGATCTGTGCACATCTTGACTGTATGCTGGATAGCTGTTGCACTGTGCATGCAAAGTCCAGACCGTACAAAGCAATTTGGGGAGCCGGCTTGGGAATCTCTGGCGGGTCCTTGGAACGTTTCCGCATCTAATTGCTGCAGGACTAGATCTAATGTTTCAGGAAGAGACATGGAACACTCGCAACTCGACTAAGTCTAAGTGCAACACTTCACCAATCACATCCTGCGATGGTGAAGGCACCGGAGACGCAACATGCTCTTGCACCTCAGCAAGCCAAAAATAACCCAATCCGAATCGACAACTTAAAATGGAGTGTTTCCACCTCCGCTGGTGTTGTCTCTGGATCTCGAGGTGCTTCTGCCAGGAGATCATCAGTTGCACTACCTCCAAGACAAGTGCGGTGCAATAAAACTTCGATGACAAGGCAGAAAACCAATGTCTGTGACACGCGTGACATAAATGTTCAGCAGGATACACCTCAACACTATCCAACAGTGCTTGTCGACATTCCTTTGAGTAGTCAGAAATCCTCAATGCCGGCATTTCTTGAAAAAATATCCAACAAACAATGCATGTAGCTTGCAATCAAGGTAAGTATGCATTACCAGCATCAACATGGAATGTCTTTTTATACGTTTGAAGGAGGTGTGTGGAAATTCAACACTACTTGACAACCAGTATCAAATATGAAAGCATGGAGCCTGACGGTGAAAGTAGTTGTCTTGCTGGAGAAGCATTTCTTGAAGGCTTCGCTCCTGTCCAAACCAAAGTTCAGCCACGCCGTCCGCAAATTTAAGTTTCGTTTTGCAAATGGATATGTAGCCAAAAATTAATCAATCCCATTGTCCAACATGTACCCTGACTTCTCTGCTTTGCAACCTGTTTGCACTCTGCTTACTCTGCACAGCTTAAATCACACCACGCATGTCCTGCAGCCACCAGCTCCTGCTGCTGCACCTTCCAAGACAAAAGGCCAATCATCGGACTCAGACTGACATTGCCGAAGCCTCAAGATCTTCAATGCTCTGAACCTGCAGGTGACGCGTACAAAAGAAAACAGCACTTCCGAACCATCTTCAATAGCAAGCACTGGGACCCACTAAGAGCCCAACACATGCTGCCAGATTTGATTGCAAAGTTGTGATATCATTACCTTGAGGCTGAAGCAGCCAACGTGTTCGCTCTGCTGCGGCTCGTAAGGCTTGCACGCATGTCTGGGACTTGCAGCCGAATGCCCTGCAAACTTCCAAGAGCAAAAAACACATCCCAGCATTCAAAAGACCTGTCCAACCAAGTCCAACCTTCAACTCAGACACATTCTCCTCAACCAACTTCACTCTCCTGCAGTCTCCACAGAGGTTCTCTGGAGCACAAAAAATCAACTCGGCTACCTGGAAAGTCCATCTGTGAACTCTCCCAACTGCGACGAAGTCTGATGTAAAGACATCAGAGCTTCTGACCTGAAGAAAGCTGCGACCAAGTACCCAATTGTCCAACCAAAGCTGCCCTCCGTGCACAGCTGAGCTCCAGTCGAAACAGAATTCTCTGGAGACCATTGCCCCAAAGCGGAGGCAATTCTGGACATGACAAGATCCTGAAAGTTGCTGAGAACTGTGAAGCAGTCCAATGTGAGGCAGCCAACATGAATTGCTGAATTGGAGCAAATGTCTGATTCGTTATCACTCTTTAATCGCCTCTCCACCCCCAAACATGTTTCAGCAAACTACGGTAGTTGCTTAGCCAAAGCTTTGGCCTTGCAGCCACGTGGAAGGACTGAGCTCAAGAACACTTGCAGCGCACCTCCATCTTCTTGTCTTGGGCGGCCAAAGCCACTGCCATTTCAATTTGTAAAAGGTTGGAAGCCTCCTGCCTACCAAGTGTGATGAATTGCAACTGCGTCATGCGAAAGCAGCTATATATATATATATATCTTCAAGGTGCCTGACTCGCTCCATCATGTCCGGTCCAAGAACAAAATGGTACATCTCTTCTTGGATATATTGTGCCAAGTCCTGCCGCTGCCACGAGTTCTCACCGCAAACGGTGTTTATCCCCACTCCAGTCTCTCTCGCAAAGGCACTTTCAGATCCTCCAATCGATGCTCAACATCCTGCACATGGTAAATAAAACATCGAAACAAACTGCACAGTGACACCAAACTGCAAAGCGCCTCGGCCAACGCCTGTTGAAGGCGTTCCTCCAAACGCTGGGCCAATCGCTCCTGGAGACGTCTGAAGGAACATGTGAAGAGGCTGTTCTAGTAACTCCGGAATGCATATGTACTTGCTCTAGACTCTAGACTGTGGCAGACTATGAGCTGTGCAGTTGTTCCTCTGTGATAATGTTCCCTGCAAAGCTTGGATCAACTTGGAGAGGCAAGCTGCGAGTCGAGGGTCTGCGGCCACCTCCGCAAGCGCTGAAGAAAACTTCCAACAGGCAAGGGTGGGTCGGAAAAACTCGATGATGCCTTTTCTGTCCGAAGTGAAGCCACAATTTCGCCAATTCAGCTGAATACTGTTCGTTCAAAATAGTAGGTTCCTGCCTTCCAAGAATGAGAACCGGCGAACCTCAACATGCAGCATTCTTCTGCTGCAACCCACAGTCAAAACTCTTCTACTTCAAATGTTCAGCATTGTTAAGCACCGATTGAGGCGAAGGCCGGCGGATCTGAGCCAATACTTGCACTTCTTCGCGCATCACCATCAGCTGGGTTGGTATTGGGCGGATCTGGATCCACTTCCATCTCAGAGAGTTGCCGGGAAGAAGCGCTTCTTCCATGTTCTGCTTGATCTTCTTTTTGCTCTTCCGGCAGGCTAGCTGCAGGATCCACAGGCATCAGCACATCCAGGTCATCAACGTCATCCTTCTTTTCAGAGTGTTGACGTTCCAGATCAGTTTCAACATTTTCCTCAATGTGGGTCTTGTCGGTGTCCATCAGGTCTTGGTAGGTGGGGCTACTGGCTCCCTGTGAACAAATGAAGGATGATGAGATGGTGCTCGCGTAGAAAGACTGCCAGTTTTACATGTTATGATAACACAACTGTCATCCGTGTGTCGTGGCTTTGCAAAATGCGCCGCCTGAGATCCGCTGAAGCCATCAGCCCTTGGTCTTTCACTTGAACACCAAAGGTACAAGACGTTGGAAGAAACTTAGGCAAAGGCGAATGGAAGCTCTCTCGACTCAGACCTCGATTTCCTAGGCCCGCTTGCCTTAGGAGTCAACACAGGAATTGGAGAAGCGGCGAAGCGGAGTCGACAGAGGCTTAAACCACTTCCTCGAGTTCGTTGCTCTGAATGCCTTTCGATCCTGTCAGCCCAGAAAACGAATGCTAGTAGCCCATCGCAAGTAGGTTGGCGGCCGTCGCTAGTAGGTTGGAGGCCGTGGCTAGTAGGTTGGAGGCCATCGCTAGCAGGGTGGAGGCCATCGCTTCTAGGCTGGAGGCCATCAGCCCTTCGCATGTCCTCACTCAGCAACTTCGTCACAGAGAGCTGATCAGCTAGCTGTCTTGACCTTGTTGCAAACACATGTCGGCACAGTCTGGAGAAATTTGTGCCTGCACTACAAATTGAAAAGGGAAAACCAAGTGATACCAGAGTGGCACCAAATTCAAACCACAAAGGGAAAAAACTGCAAAACTGATCTAGAGAACAATGTAGACTGTAGTGGCAGCCGTGTGCCTTTCCTACTCAGGGCTTTACGAAAGAAACTCTAAGGCAGGCACAAAGATTGCAGTTTCCCTTCATGTTCTTGAACCGTCCTTTGCAAAAACGGTGCTGTCTTGCAGATAGCTTGGGTAGTATATCCCATTACCAGAAACAGTGGATGATGATGGTTAACAATCAATAAATGCCTTTCTCTAAAATAGTGACGGTCTTTTCTGACTGTTACTGGTACTGCGCTACACCGTACACATAGCAGTGGTTGAGATAGCCGTTCATGGGCTCACAGAACGGCTCCTCACAATCCAAAAGACTAACTCCGTCTGCTGTCTCGCAGCATCCAACAAAGCCTTGGATATGGTCATTGCGATGGGCGATGTCTAACAAAGTGGTTCAAACGCTCATCCTGGGTTCAAGGACATCGCGCTTTGTGAATTGGAACTAACAATACCAACACTGCTTGCATCATTGAAATGCAAACGGTGCAACACTCCTGCGAGTTAAGCTGAAGAACTAGGTCCCCTCAGTCTTTGATCCTTGCGAAAGTTGCTGAGCTAACCACTGGAAATCCACCTGGAGTCACCGGAAGACTTGGAATACTTGCAGCACCTTACAAGAGCAAGAAGGCATGACTGAGCAAACATGGCCCGTCAAAGCGAAAAATGTGGCACATGCTACGGTTCACACTCTCTGCCAAAGGAGGACGGAAACCAGAACTGTCACCAAGCGGACTGGCCATTGATAACTACAAGAGGTCCAATACACTAATTTGTGCCGTCATGGTTTTCAATACCTATATATTCTGTTGATCCTCAGGGTTTGTGTCATCCAAGTGCCATAATGAATTGCGAACCAGTCACTGAAACCACATGGCAGCGGGAAAATCAAATTTGACAAACCAACTTCCATGAAAACCAAGACTTTCAAACAAACAGCTGACATTTGAGCACGCTCCAAGAACCCATACACCACCCTGCTGGGCGTAAGAAAATATGAACGTCTGTGGGTGTACAATGGTGAGGAAAAAACACAGGACTGCTCTCCGCACAATTGAACAAATATACAAATGCCCGAATTCGAGGATGATACTGCCACCGCACAATGAAAATCGACAATTCAAGTCGAACAATTAACACCTGTTACAATGTTTCACTACTGTCTCTTTGGAACACGCAATAGAACGGTGAAAGAGTCGTCGGGGCCTGATGCCTGGAAAAAAAATTGAAATTCCAAACTCTCACCAACCCTTGGACCCTGCACTCTGTCAAAACGGTTTTGTGCGAAACGTGGTGCTATGCACAAATGGAGAACACACAAAACAGCAGTTTAGTCTTCAAGTTCAAGGCGCCAATCAAGTTTCGACTCAAATTATTTCTTAAGGCAACAAATTATCGGGCATAAGGCAGGGGTGTCCCTTATCCCCTTATCTCTTCATCATACTCATGTCCACGATGTTCTCCGACATAAAGGCAAGGCTGTCCACGGCCAAACAGAAAGAACCCCTTGAAGGAATAATTTTTGCAGAAATACTCTACGCTGACGACACTCTGATTTTTGGCGACCACACGCCTTCAATAAAAAAACTATTCAAAAAAATAGAAGTGGAATCCTCCTACTACAACATGGAACTCAACTACCGAAAGTGTATTAACATGACAACGAACAGAAAGACATCAACAATTAAATATCTAGATGGAACTAAGGTCCCACGAGACAGTCGTGCAGTATACCTAGGATCGTTATTGACAGATACGGTGAGTAACACAGCAGAAATAAACAACAGAACTGCCATGACCATGAGAACTTTCAAACAACTCAAGATCTTCTGGGACAAGGCGGATACCACTACAAATTGGAAACTGCGTACAATCAAAACTTATGTACAGCCTGGAAGTGATCCAACTCACTCAAAATGAATTAAACCAACTAGATGCTTTTCAGGTGAAGGGACTGAGAAAATTTTCAATATACCATCCACTTTCACAGATAGAGCGCAAACCAACCAAGTCGTACTGCAAACAGCAAACACGCATGGAGTGTATGTTCAAAAATTGTCAGACTTGTGGAGGCAGAGGAAGATAAGTCCATTAGGCCACATTCTCCGAGCAAACGATCCTCCGACAGGTCATTTTTGAAAACCAAACTTGCACGAAAACCACCATGTCGAAGGCAACGCAGGCCGAAAGTGGGGCAACTGAAACGGTGAAAGACACGTTCCATTGTTTCGGGCACAGCTTGCCCCAAGCCAAGCCTCCAAGACATGCGAATTCCAGTGGCACTCCATCAGCCAAGCCAGCAATTTTTTTGCACGAGTCGAGCCTTCTTTTTGCACGGGTGAAGCCGCCATTCATGCAGGAAATGCATAGGTCAGCTTGTGCTGTTTTCGAAAGAGTCCAGAATGAAGTGCCAAGCAGCAAACACAACACCAACACTAACCAAAACCAAACAACAACCGACCAGGGAAGAAAGCAGGAGACTCTTGTGTGTACATGCAGGGTGAAACAGATGAGACATAAAACGGGCGTTGAATTGTTGCAAAACGGGCACTTGATGAGCTTGGAGCCAAGTCGAAGTTGCTGACACCATGGCTTGGTTGCTGGGCCTGGACAGCTTGGCCACCTGTGAGCGACAGAATCTTCATGCCGGTGATGTTGCTTTGGCCCAACTTTACCTGGCAAGTGCAGGAAGTGCACAGGTCAGCTTGCGCAATTGTTTGTAGAGTCTCCAGCATGAAAGGGGCCAGACAACAAAAAAACACAAGACAACGAGCGCCCCAAAACCAAACAAAACCGACAAAGAAAGGACAATGATGGAGACTCTTGGATGTACATGCAAGGGTGAAACAGATGTTGGGATGAATTCTGCAAAAGGCCGCAAGATGGGCTGTCCGAAATGCGGTCAAAATGATTGCTAGCAACTTTGCACGAGTCGAGCCGCCATTCATGCAGGAAATGCAAAGGTCAGCTTGTGTAGTGTTTGGAAGAGTCTTCTTGGGGAAAGGGGCCAAAAACAAAACCAAAAGACCCAAAAACCGAACAACAACAACAACAACAACAACAACAACAACAACAACAACAAAGAGAACAAGGGGCAGAGACTCTTGAAAATGCACCTGAACGAAATGCTTGCTGAATGAGCTGCATTCTCTGCTTTCACTCATTCACTCGCATTTCTGTTCATTTGCCTTTCTGGTCTGTCAGTGGTGTCCGCTTTTCCGCTGGAGATGCAGCATTTCTGTTCATTTTTGTCGGACACGTTGACGAGTGACACCGCCTTGAGGGCCAGGGTGGACCAGTGAGGATTGACACCAAAGCTGCCACAAGAACACCGGTCAGAGGCTCCACTGAGATGATCTTGTGGGTGGTTGTCCAACATGATTCCGACGTCCAACTGTGTGAAAACACAGTAGCAAAGCTTCCTTTTCGATCCCGCTCCTTGAGCCAAAGTTACAGTCGGTTGTAGACGCTTATCCACTCTTCTTCAAAGAGTACAAGACTGCACATAGTCATCTCAAAGCTACACAAATCTACAAAGAACTACACAGATCTATCTCAAACAGTCTCCAAAGACATCGTGCTCCACCAAAAGGTTCTCTAAGCAGTTCCTAGCCACAAGTTGCCACTTCAAACGTCCTCCTGCTAAGGTGGTCAAAAGGTCAAACACAAAAAGGGCACAGATCACCACTCAGCTCCAACCCCAAGCACTCTAAAAACGAAAACTCCCTTAAGAAGCAAGCACTAGGTGAGCCATACACTGTACACGCGCGCTGTACGCTACTTTTCACACCCCTTCTTGGGTCGCCTCGGGCTACCTTCTTTCCTCTTCTGTCTTCTTCTCTTCTTCTATTCGTTTTCTTTGAGCAACTAAGGATCAGACGTCAACTAAGATCCAAACTTCTGCCCTCAAAGGTGGTCTCAATGGTATCAATCCAGAGGTAAACTCGAGTCCAGCCCAAGCAAAACTCCAGATCCGTCAAAGAGTCAACTTCAACCCTCAACCAACACGCATTCAACCAAGAACAAACGTGCAAAGAGGATCTCTCAGAGGTGGGTCATGGAATCTCACAGGATGATTCCTTTCACCAATGACCCTTGAATCCTCATCATCGAGATCCTCAAAAGCAAAAGCTTTCAAGGACAACTTACCTGTCAGCTCAGGATGCAAAAAGGTTATCTAGAGTTACAACGCCGTGCAAGCCTCTAACCTCAAGACCTGACAAGGACACAAAGTTGCAATCAACTTCAAAAGATGAAATCCTCAAGAAGTTATCTAGACACAAACTTGCAATGAACAAAGTGGCAATCAAGCACAAGTGAACTCGCAAGAAACTCGCTGAAAGCTAAACCTGCGATGAACGAAGCTCCAAGCAACTGCACAAGACATCACAAGAAACTCTCTAGAGGTTAAACTGGAAATGAACTTGGTTCCAATCATCCTGCATCAAGTGAACTCGTCATGCCACAGCAGATTCAAACTCTAGGGTCAAACCCTTTTGCCACGCTGCACGAGTCTAAATTCCACCTGCCTTTCTGATCTTTCCTTTCTGTTCCTTTCTCTTGCTTTCTGTTGCTTTCTTCTTCCTTTCTCAAATCAAGACACATCTTCAAGAAAAAGAGTCTCCAAGCAAACAAGCAACCAAGAAACCAGACAAAATGCCTCCAATCACATTCTCCATGAATTCAACCTGACATATCACGTTCAATCCAAGATCATGCCTCAAGTCAAGGTCAAGCCAAGGTTGCAATCATGGTGCTCGTGTCTCGCTGGAGTAGAAACAAAAGAAATAAGGAAGATCATCGCTCTTTTCTTTCGTGGTGCGTGATGTAGGAGCTTCGACAATCGCTCCTCCAGGCCGCTACATGGCCTTTCAAACCCAAAAAGGGTGAACCTTCGATCTCTTACATGTGAGGATCGTCAGCTTTCCAGTTCAATGGCACGGTCATGTACTGGCCATTGCCCAGCTTCACGCGCTTGAACCCTGGAGGCCCTTCACGTTCCATGGCTTCAGCGCCAAGGCTTGCGCCCATAGTGTCAATCGAGCTGTCGGCGGGGCACTCATCGGATTCGTTGTCATAGGCGGAGGTGGCTGGCGAAGGTCAGCACCTGGGATCTTTGGTATGCCACCACCTGAGCCAGCTCCCAAGTTCTGGAAAGCTGCAGGCAATCCCTGGCCACTCCCCACAGGCCATCGATGTGGAAAAGCTGGTGGCGCCAATCCTCCTTGCGTGGCCTGAGGCATGCCAGAGCGGGATGCAGCGCACCCAAACCGATGCTTGCCGGACTGCTGTTTTCTGGAGGCTGGCATTTTTTTCCACGAGTACGGACGCCGTGTGGGCATGGTGCCCAGGTCATCGTTGAAGGAAGGGAAGAAAAGACAGATGGTGGAGAAAGGAACGAAGACCCCAAAAACCAACCCAAAAACCAAACACCCAAGCCCGCAGGCCGACTCCACCATCTTGTAGTCTTCCCTATACACTAGGTGAAACGTGTGAAACTGAGACTAGTGACAACTAGTGGGCCTGAATTCGCAAAAGAAGTGGACTGCAGCGCAAACTGTGTTCTTGGAAAGCCGCCTAGAAGGCTTCAAACGGACTTTCCTTACCAAGTGTTGGTGACCAGCGGCCACACCACAGTGTGGCAAAACAAGGTCACTTTGCAGGTCAGGTGTCTCGCAATGCTCCAGCAGTGGTTGCAATCAGGCCAACCGAAAGTGCGAAGATCTAAGCAGCAATCCATGGA